GTCTTCACGCGAATTTTACCGGTTTGCATCAATCTTATTAATTTTTTTATAACGTTTTAGCGAGAACGAATCGTAATAATCAATGAAATTTTGATTTTTTTGGTTATTTTCAATAAAAATCGGTTAAAAAATGATTAAAAATTGATCAAAATCGTAGGATGACAATCCATTTTTTATCGGCTATTACCCGATTTTAATCTGATTTCAACTCTATTTTTTTACGTAGACAGACCTGGTTTATCTGAAAAGCTGAGCCTACCCTAGAGTGAAATCGTTCCGCCGCCTATGTATATATTTTTTCCTATAAACGAGTTTCACAATCGCATTTCGTTTGTATATTGATCGAAGTAATGGAATGCGTCTAGGCGCGGTTGCAAGTAAAACCGCGTGTAGACGCAAGAAATGTTTCACTAGAGACGCGATTCCAAACCAAAACACGTTAAGATGCGCTTGAAGTCTTAGTCCAGTCGTGTTTAGATGCGGTCTGTGCAAAATCACGTGTAGACGTGGTTTTTATTGTCTTTTGACTGAGTGCAGACGCGTTTCACAAGAAAAACGCGTTTAAACACACAATTTCTGCGTTTAGTGTTTACATGGGAATAAGCAATTGTTCATTCGATAATATTATAATAGTATTGGCAAAATATAAACAAAGAAACATATTCGTATGGTTTTGAATAATTAATTTTGATTTGCTCCGACGCCATCGTTGTTCGTTGTATGGTCCTGTGATGCCAGAGCTTCGTTCGAAAAAAGATTTCAATTTTTGTTGTGTAATATAATCAGATCGTTCGATCATATGTTTTTCACGTGCTTCAATAGCTACCATTAGTTGTTTGAATATATCTCAATCTGAATTGTTTATCTTTAATTATCGGTAATAGCTACCAATTTCTTTTTTCCATTTTTCGCTATTTTATTTCAATAGCGTACTTTTTCTTTACCAGCTACTATACTTAATTCAAGCATATCATATTTAAATCGGCCAATTTTTTTTTGAAACGACGAGCAGATAATATTGTTGGTTGCTTGTTATCATCATCGTTAGTAGAAGATTTTTTCGATCGGCTAAGTATTTTATCAATTTTATTAAGTAAATAATCAAGAAGATTGAATGCTGGTGGTAAATAATTCGAATGGATGCGATATTTTAATATCTCAATTTGTTCTTCCATTTGTTTTGTGGAACTCACCTATATTTTCGAAGACAATAGTGGATGTAAGTTTTAAGGTCAAGGTTTTCCGCCTCCCTCTCCCCATTACAAACCCATAGCAACGGAAGAGAACATTACAGACATACCCCCCATTACAGACCTAGCAACCGCGCACAAAAGGCTCCAGATTCTATACAATATTTCAATGCTTTCAGAATTATTTGAAAACAACTATTTTTTAGTTTACAAATGATGCATTAGGGTAATAGGTTTGAAGGATATACGAAAGTTCCCCATTTCAGCTCCAAAGGAGCTGCGCTAACAAGCTTTTTTTTATGATAAATTGCTTTTCATATATTACGAATAGAACGAATTCGTTGTTTATTAGGTTTCAAATCATAAACATATTGTACTAAACGATGATCTGTTGAGTCTAATTTTAAAATTTTTTTATTATATTCAAATTGTTGCTTTAATTTATGTTGACCTTTTCCGACAACAGCTGTAACCATTGCTGACATTGTTGTAAAATCTAATGGATGATTCATTTCAGATAGACATTGAGGTAATGATGGATTGCCAAACTCTTGTAATGCTTATGATCTTCTTGAAGTTGTCGTTGAAGAGTTGTTAGACGTTGTACGATTAATGCTTTTGAGCGACCATAAGTATGATGCATACTATTCGTAGTAACCCATTTTTCTGATACGCGACCGGGCCAAATATTTTCTTGCATACCAATATCATAATAATTCTTCCATTGACTTTCTCGTCATTGTACATAGAATAGACGATGTATTAAATAAACATATTGACGAAGATAGTTAATTTTTTCACTTGTATTTAATCGTTTAACAATTTTATCAGCATCTTCTAATGAACTGATTAACATTTGTTTAAATATACGATTGGTTACTTGTAAATAATCAGATGTATAAGAATAGTCATTATTATAATTAATTTCTTTTTTTGATTTTGAACGTTTCTTGTCTGATGTTCCATTTGTAGTTACTTGTTCAATTTCATTATTGGTCATCTTTTGTTTTTTTTCGTGATGGTTGAGAAATAGATAATTGACTTAAAGACTTAGCAATTATATTTGATGATTGTTTTGATGATATTTCATTTCTTTTACGTTTGATTGATTCTTTTACTAATAAGAAAGGTAGATATTACTTGATCAACTGATACATTGACCTGTATATGATCATTAGCATCTTCTTTCATTTGTTTCTGGTTTTTCTGAAGTCTCACGTTTGACTGAATTAAATCGGTGAATCAATCTGGATCTAAACCTTTTCGACGAAATCGTCCACGTCGACGTTGTGCTTTTCGATCACCGCGGCTTTTTTTCTTGCGTTTCACCTCTTCGCCTTTCTGTGGTTGGACTGGTTCCTGTTTTTGCTGTTGTCCAGTCAACACTTGTGTTGGTGCAAGTAATTCATACTAGTGACCTGGAGCATTTTCACTTGGTGTTTTTAAAATTGATGTCGTTGTTGTCATTGTTTTGTTTCTTTCAATATAATTCATTTATGCAGAACACTCAATATCTAAAATGCAAAGAGGAAACATTAAATCTCGAAAAAGTATGAGTGAACAATTATGGAATATCTAGTTTTAATAAAGTTTACAAAAAAAAACCATCTACGTAATGTATAACAAAAGAAACAAAAAACTCTCTGAATTTCATAACTATAGACAGCCATTTTGTGTTCCGTCGATATATTGGTCGATGAATGACTTCAATGTTTATATTATTGAATTGTGGTTGATTTTTCAAATAGTCTTTCCATAAGGTTTTAATATTTTGTTGAAAATCATATAGCTCTTCTTCATTTAAATCAGATGTAATGTAGCATAGTTGTTCTCTTTGTTGTTTTCATCGTTGTTTTATTTTCATTTCTTGATGTTGTTGATCATACTCGATAATTTCTTCACGCATTTTATCATAGGTATTTTGATTTAAATTCCCTAGACTGAAAGGCTAGGGTCTAGAAACCTAAATTCACCTGTGTCTGTGTGTCTGTCCGTCTGTCTGTCTGTCGGTAACGCGGCCAAAATGGTCATGATAACTATGGCACAAGCGGTCATTTTTTGGCACCAACAGCCATTTTTTTGCAAAATTAACTAGGTAACTATGGTACAAATGACCATATGGTTTAAATGCCCATAGTAACAATGGTTCAAATGGCCGTAGTAACAATGGTGCAAATGACCAAATAACAACTATGGTCAAAATGACCGTGGTAACTATGGTACAAATGAGTATTTGGTTAAAATGTCCATCGTAACTGTGGTTCAAACGACTATTTAACAATTATGGTCAAAATGACCATGGTAACTGTGGTACAAATGGCCAAATAACAACTATGGTGAAAATCGCCATAGTGATTGTGGTACCAGTGATGATAGTAAAAGCATGATCAAAAAATCGACTTGGTAATTATGATACAAATGATCATACGATAATAAAAATTTATTTTCCCTAGACTGAAAGGCTAGGGTCTAGAAACCGAAATTCACCTGTGTCTGTCTGTCTGTCTGTCTGTCGGTAACGCGGTCAAAATGGCCATTTTTTTGGCACATGTAACCATTTTTTTGGCACAAGTGACCATTTTTTTGGCACAAACGGCTATTTTTTTACTAAAATTAACTAGGTAACTATGGTACAAATGAGCATATAACTATGGCACACACGGTCATGTTTTTGGTACAAACGACCACGTAACTATGGCACGGGTGACCATATAGCAACCATGGTACAAACAACTATT